CCCAAAGCACCGGAGGAGGGACCCCCAGGACCCCCTGGAAGACGAGGACGCGGAGCCCAGGAGGCACCACCGACGAGAGGACCCCAAAGACCCCCCAAAACGCCACCGGGGTGACCCCAGAGACCCTGGAGATTTTGGGGACCCCCCAAAACGCCGTCGGGGAGACCCCGGAGACCCCCCAAAGCACCGGAGGAGGGACCCCCAGGACCCCCTGGAAGACGAGGACGCGGAGCCCAGGAGGCACCACCGACGAGAGGACCCCGAAGACCCCCCAAAAAAACCCTCAAAACCCCCCCCGGGACCCCCCGAACTCGCCCCGTTCCCGCTCACCCGGAGCGGCCGGCACGGAAAGCGCGGGCCGCCAGGGGGCGCCGGAGAGCCGGTTTTGGGGCGGGGTTATGTAAATTAGCCACAGAAGGGGCGTGGCTACGGAGTGACGGGTATTCTGTGCGTGGGGAGATGGGCGGGGTTATGTAAATCACACAGGGGAAAGGGGCGGGGCTACGGAGTGACGTGTTTGTTGTGGGTTGGTGTGTGGGCGGGGTTATGTAAATGAGCTGTTGTGTGGGCGGGGCTATGCAAATACTAACAACGGTGCGGGGGTGCGGTCCCCGAGTGTCCCCAAATGTCCCCAAATGCCCCCAAATGTGCCCGATGGTCCCCAAATGTGCCCGATGGTCCCCAAATGTCCCCGAGTGTCCTCAATTGTCCCAAAATGTCCCCGAGTGTCCCCAAATGTCCCCGAGTGTCCCCAAGTGTCCCCGAGTGTCCCCAAATGTCCTGCAGTGTCCCCAAGTGTCCCCAAATGTCCCTCATTGTCCCCAAGTGTCCTCTGAGTGTCCCCAAATGTCCCCAAGTGTCCCCGAGTGTCCTCCAGTGTCCTCAATTGTCCCCAAATGTCCCCGAGTGTCCCCAAGTGTCCCCGAGTGTCCCCAAATGTTCTCCAGTGTCCCCAAATGTCCTCGTGTCCCCAAATGTCCCCAAGTGTCTCTGAGTGTCCCCAAATGTCCCTAAGTGTCCCCAAATGTCCCCGAGTGTCCCCAAGTGTCCCCAAATGTCCCCCAGTGTCCCCAAGTGTTCCCGAGTGTCCCCAAATATCCTGCAGTGTCCCCAAGTGTCCCCAAATGTCCCTCATTGTCCCCAAGTGTCCTCTGAGTGTCCCCAAATGTCCTCAAGTGTCCCCGAATGTCCTCAATTGTCCCCGAGTGTCCCCAAATGTCCCCGAGTGTCCCCAAATGTCCCTGAGTGTCCCCAAGTGTCCCCAAATGTCCCCAAATGTCCCCAATTGTCCCCAAGTGTCTCTGAGTGTCCCCAAATGTCCTCAAGTGTCCCCAAGTGTCTCTGAGTGTCCCCGAGTGTCCCCAAGTGTCTCTGAGTGTCCCCAAATGTCCTCAAGTGTCCCCAAGTGTCTCTGAGTGTCCCCGAGTGTCCCCAAGTGTCTCTGAGTGTCCCCAAATGTCCTCAAGTGTCCCCAAGTGTCTCTGAGTGTCCCC